ATAATTTCTTGTTCGTGGACTAGGCAGTTTGTCTCCGCAGCCTTAAAATGGCAAGATTCGACGTAATCACACGATCTCGCCCTCAGAGTCTGCTTGTAGCAGTGCACACCCTACGGCAAAGTCCGACGCTGGCAACGCCAGTATTGGAGTATGAAGGAGGCTGTCTTAGACCTTGTCAAAAGCCCCTGATGCTCGGTGTCCCAACACCATTCTGTATCCTTTCTAAAGATATTCGACAATGGCTGTGCCAATTCCGCATAATTCGCGCTACACTTGTGTAGTTGGCGAGGCCAAGCCACTTGCGCAAGGCCTTTTGACTCTTTGGATCCGGTCAGTCCACAGTGGCTTTGCCCTTAGCGGGATCCGCTCAAAGGCCACGCTTCCCAACGAAGCACCCTAAAATGGGAATTATTTCAGCGCCGAAGAAGCACTTACCGGCAGTTACATACAGCATATTCGTGCACATGCACTCAAGCACCGCTTTTCATAAATGAACGATCATCTATATTTTGGTTTTTGGATTTAAGCTTTGACATTTTTTATTCTGCGCTTCTATATAAGTTATCACAGATAACGCGATTTCTGTGAAATCTGCTAAAGATGTATAAAGAGTTCCGTGTCAACCTTAGCCACGCGCAGGCCTTAAAGGTTCTGCATGGAAAACCTGTTCGATTAACGCATGCACAGCTCAATGCTGGTCATGCTCACTATTTTGGGCCCGAGACCTACAAAAAGCTTGTGAAAGCATATGAATCTGGCAAAGGAACTACCCTTCATATGCCTCACGGTGAAGTATTATGGACGCATCAGTCTGGACTAGATATTTTGGAGTTATGTGATTGGCTAAAACTGTGCGGTGTGTTGCGTGAGAACTTTCCGCACGAAGATGGCAGAGGTCGAGTTGGAGTGCGCGGTATACGGCGAAGGGGCTGTGTTTCCCGTGAAGATAGCGAGCAATGCGAAAGTGAGCGCGCTGCAGGAGAAGATCGCAAGTACATACAGAGTCGTGAGCAACTGCGTTGAGGTTTACCCAGCCAGGTTGACGCTCTACTTGGCGCGGAAGAAGGGGGAAGCCACGTGGATGAAGCACGACCACACGGTGAAAGGCTTCTTGCGAGGTGGCATCAGCACCGAGTATGAAGAGATGCTTTCGTCGTGGATTCTCGACGAAGATTGCTTTGGGAAGAACTTTCAGCCTGGTCGCAAGGAGATTCACGTGCTGGTGGAACTCCCAGAAGTTGCGGTTGAACCACCGAAGAAGAAGCAAAGATTGGAGGGAAACCGGATTGCATTTGCAGGACCATTGCATCAGGATGAGTGCGCCGTTCCGTTTGATACAATAGACGCTTTTCGACAGATCAAGGAAGGCCTATCAAGAAAAGAGGTCATCGGCCACCCTTTGTTCCTGTTGTACGGTCCTCGTCAATTTGGAAAAACAACAATTTCGTATCGCATCATGGACTGGATTGCCAGTGATTACAGTGTTGCGGATGTCAAGTGCGTTTTTTTTTAAATGCATGAATCGGATGTGGCTGCAGAGGGAACGTTCTGGAATCGATTGGGGAGGTGCATTGATAATCGAAATGCGGGCTGCGATTACGATTCGTTTAAGCAGTTGGTGGAGGATTGCGCTACTCAAGACCGGAAGCAGTTGTGCCTGATTGTGGATGAAATGGATCATCTCTTTTCCAACAAAGAGTTGGCTATCAAGTTCCTGCTTGCACTTCGAAAGTGGAAAGCAGCATCGTATTTCCGTGGTTTCCTTGGGATCGGAAGTCATGAATTGGTGCACCATCACGAAATCTTTCGTGAAAACGACAAGACAAGCCCTTTCAACGTTGGTAACATGATCAAGATGGCGCCATTTTCAGTGGAACAAATGAGTGCGTTTTTCAAGCTTATTGATCCACGCTATTCGTTTCCTCAGTCGCTTCAATGTGGAATTATGAAGTATTCCAGTGGAGCGCCCGGTGTATTTGGATCATTGATTCGATTTACGGTTGACAAAGACAAGTGGACTCTGGAGTGGCGTGAATGGGAACCGTGGTTCCAAATGGGTGCATTTTCCGGGTATTTGACGCAGTACAACAACACCTATTACCGCATACAAGGCGATCTGCGCAGCTTGACTGAGTTGGAGTGGGAGGCGCTCAAATACATACTTGAAGACAATGGGAGTTTGACGGCTAGCACTGTCGAGGGGTACTGCGGCATTGCAGTCAGGGGCGATCAGCAAAGGCGACTCGTTGACCCATTACTGAGAATGGGGATTGTGGTCCAAGAAGCAGTGGTGGATTGGCCATTGTATCTGAGATGATGTGTCGAGTTTGTGTCGAAGCCCTCCCAGAGCGGGAAATTCATCAAGCTGCTAATACCGATGACCCCGTGCTGCTCTTGTCTGTTGCGCTTGGACAAGTGTACCCCAAAACCATTTCGAATCATCTTGTGAGGAATCGACAAGCACCGAGTGAGTGGCATTTCATCACGAGCTGTATTCGACAATTCGGGATATCTTGAAGAAGGGAGCACTGACGAGGGGTATTTATGCTGAAGTAAAAACTCCAGGCAGTCGAAGGAGAGCCGATATTCTCATCGCCAATGGGGTCCGAGTCGCATACGAGCTGAAGTCAAATCAATTACGGGAATCCGAGATCGAAGCCGCCGCAAAACAAGCAGATGGGTACAGACAACAGTTCAACGTCGACCGGATGGTCGTTGTCAACTTCGTTCCCATGGGACACACGTTGGACGAAGTGTATCGATTCACGCGGTTTCTGAGGGTTCAGATCGTTCATGCTCAGTTTGCTGATTCCTGTGATCAATTTTCTCTTCAATACCTGGGAGAGACAAACGAAGTCCTAAAATGCTCCGTTAAGTGCCTAGTTCGGAATAATAATAGTTAAGTCGGAGTTCCAAAACCGAGTTCCGAACCGGTTCCAAAATGATGCTGTACTTACTAGAGCTGCTGTGGTGCTTTAATTTAATAGTGAATTGCAATTATTTGATGAACAATTTTCGGAACCAAATTTTAATAACTAGAAGGGCTGTGGTTACATTGACATCTTCCGTTGGTGCTCGGGTTCCGAGTTCCTATACTTTTATATATATAGAGAGAGAGAATAAAAGGACGGACTGCATTGATTATGTTACATCGTCTGCTCAACCTGTGCATAAAATGACATCTAGAGTACCCCTAGACCCCCTTAAAGACCAAGTTAATGTACGGGTACGTACGGAACGTACCCGTTCCAAACATTAAGAAAGTCTAGGGGTACTAACGATAATGTAAACAACAAATCTGTGTGTGGTGCTTTAAAAGGAAATTTTATCTAATGCATAACATTCAAACTGTGACAATACTTGACGTTTATGTGCGCACATGTTTCGTTTGCTTTTTTCTTAAGCCTCCCATGGTACTCGTGAGCGAATGTGTCCGTTCAATAATTCAGACAAATGAAGATACTTGATAGATGATCCGATTCGTGCATTCTGCATCATTCACACCATTCGTCAAGTTGTAAACTTCTTGCTCTTCCTTTCTTTAAATGATGGTGGAAATAGTAGTCTATCGAGCTTGACAAATCTTAGAGTTCATAACAGAACTTGCGCCTAATCGCCGCAATGAAAAGCACAGTTGTACTGAAAAAACATAGTACCCTTTTGTCCGCTATTCTCGGTTGATATGACAATACTGTGGCATCAGTGCTCACCCTACCGAGTGAGTCAACTACCAGGCCACAGTCGCGACGCACTTCCGATCTCGATCAAAACAGTGGCTCTTTCGCTTTCTTTGAAAATTTAAATTTTGATGCGACTAAAGCCAATTAAAATAATCAGCACATAAAACAAGTAAATTGCTACTCCGATGCTCCTAAAACGAACACTTCCATGAAATTCTCCTGATACAGCTCCATACGAAATCGAGAAGCAAGGAGACAATCAAACTATACGAGGGGGGCAACAGAGAGCTTATGTAACAATCTGCACGGCGTCACTTGCGAATTAACATGCTGATTAAGAGCTTAGTGGCTGTTTGTCTTGTATGAATTTTCACCTCCAAGAAGCTAAGCTGGCATACTGGAGCATACTTTGGAGCATCTTTTTGATTTTCTTGATCTATACGCCACGAAAAATCAGATGCTGAAAAGCATAATAGGGAAAGAGGTGGTTTCTCGTGCCAAAGTTCGAAAAGATGTTGAGAACGAACAAGGTTCCATTAGGAAAAGCGCTATACTATTGTAATTTACGCGGGTCCGTTTTCGACGTGTGGTCTGCTTCGATAAAGAAAGATCCGTATGATCTATTCAAGTTAATTACAAGCATTGATGACGAAATAATTGCAGAAGTGATGATACTAATCTACTACTGAAAAGACCGGGCAATCTCATGGGTTTATTTCTTAAATGATACAATAAAATAATAAGCGTAATCAAAGTGCTGGATATTTAAATCCAGATGTTCACAATTGCAAAAAGCATATGTTTATTCAATCATTCAAAGTATTGCCATAATCTCATGTATTCCATTTCAACGTCATGATGATGTTCGGGCGCCATCAGCGATTAAATTGAAG